CTGGTGGCATGTGTAATACGTGTCCCAACCAACGTAATCTATGGAGGTCGACCACTTGCTCCAGTGAGCGACTGCGGTTACCCAAAACTCAAAACCTAACCTCTGCATTGCATGTCCGGCTACTCCACGAGATTCGTGCAATGCTGCGTAGACAGCGGTGTTCAAACACCGACAAGCTTGATTATCACCGCCTCTCTCATTGATACTCACCTTTCATGTGACTGACCTCTAGTATTTGCAAAGCCTTAATCCGCACTTTTATTTCCAATTAAAATATAGCAAACTAAAGATCAATCCTTTCTCTGATTTTCGCCTAAGGGGTCACTGAAGAACACATCTCTCAAAAATCCAGATCTTGAAGTCTTGTACGGGGGCGAAAACAACTCATCTGTATGTTCGGGACGGGAATGGGTCACTTAGATACATTTGTAGCCATTCCAGCGTTTCGATGCCCAGGAGAAAACGGAAAAGAAAAACAGACCTACTCCATCCCTAAAATTACTGCAAGCGTCGGACAATCTTGAAACAAGCCACCTACATAACCTTCAAGCTAATGCGGTGGTAACAACACCAATGTATTCGGCAATAGCAAAGAACCTGACATTATCACGCCATGACCTCGAGAGCTAAACCTCAGAGCTTGTCGGTCTAAAACAACTAGAACATCATGCGTATGAAACACAAGGCAAAATTAAATCAATCCTGTATTGCTAAACAGTCAAATGTGTACATTGATAATCACCGAAGTAATCGGAGAAGATCATTATCGTTCAACCTGATAACTTATCCAGTGATCCACTGAGCGGTGCAGGCCAGTCCACGTAGCTAGCCGGATTTGAAGAGCAGAATAGCAACTTGACCCGTATAGAAATAGATAAAATGTTTTGTCTCATGCGTGACATAGCTTCCGTAATTACGACCCACAACGCAATGCCATGTTGGGCTGTGCTTCTTGTCGAACTGGGAAAAGGAGCGAAATCAGCGTTCTCCAAATCTTGCAACTTACTTCTTTTTTAATGTAGGCCGCAATATCCTTCTCAATGTTGAACTTTTCAAACGCGTGTGTGGCTACTTCGATGGCATCTTGTTGCATCTCTTCTGACATATCCGCATTTTTTACAACAGCTTTGCGACTCCCGTCACCCATTTGCTCGCTTCGGCTCACAAGCGCTGTCACGGTCTTGGTCGATAGAACTAAATTTGAACGGTCAGGTCAGCTGATGGCTGTGACCTTGGGGGCGTGGACTAACGGGTGATTGGTCGACTTTAGTATCATGGCTTCACACACGCTTACGGGACTGACGAAATGGAATCGGTTAGCGTTGTCACGTAAGTAGAATGGATTTGGACATCTGACGCATCACGGGCGTGGGGTGGAGGCAACAAGTTTGGGACATCGCCTATTGCCGTGATCGCAATGGTCACAGCAAACATGATAGTACCGACATGTGGTACCGACAGATAGACGCACCAGATGCCAATTCAAGCGAGAGACAGAATTTGAAAGAAGACGACCAGTGATAGCTGCTTGCAGTGAGTGCTATCAGTACAGGACTTCGAGCCCAACTAAGGCTGCAATTTGTTTCGCCGGTAGATTCTAGCACATTGTTAACAAAGAGCTTGGCATACAATCAAAATGTTAAAAAGTCGGTATTTCACGAAACGATACAGTGTATTTTGGTGCCTTTAAACGTTCTCCAGCTGATTGATTACTTATTGTATCGAACACGTCATCAAATATATATTCCCTCAACCGAGGTGTGAAACATCGGAAAGAAAAAATTGTAGGTTGTCATTTTATCTTAGATCAATCTTTAGACTATTTGACCCTTTTCAGATTGGGTGCTATTTGTTGCAAACCAAGAAAAAAATTAAAGAGAGAAATAATTCAATGTGTTAGTTTAGCTGGCCATCTCACATCTAATTAAATTTTACTAAACTAGGTATGCATTTATTGGTTTTAATCAAAGCATCTTATGGAGTATTCCCAATAATCTTTCATTTCAAGGTAGCTGGGTCAACAAACAATTTTTTACGATGGTCTGTGCTGGTCAAAATCAAAAAAAAGATTACAAACTCATGGTTTCAAAAGGCGATATAACAGCTAAAGTAGCATCACTTTGGTTGTTTCGATTCCAGTGCGCAANTAGGGAGTGTATGTTTATCCTTTAGACTGTGGTAGCCATTTCTCAATGAACTCTTTAAATAATTGACTTCTCCAATAAGCACGTCTCGAGGACACGAGAAACAATTCGACCAAAGAATAAAAAAATACACTTATTATTATTATTAAATAGCAATCTTACTTGGTTGGTAAAGTCCGTACCCCATGAAGTTGGATGACTGTGTTGGTCCTGAACTAGGAGAAATATCTCATGCTGAGTCAAAGATGACGAGAAACCATTAACTTAAACCGTAGATTTTGCCAGCAGACAGCAGAAGTCACTCGTTAGTTCGCCCAAAAATTTGATTTGGAGAAAAAATCAAGCATAAATCATCACTGAATCATGAAGAAAACAATTTTTGTCAACCCCTGATCCACTTATTGTGAATCGAAATTTAGGAGACTGAGTCGACCTAAACTCGAATAAAATCAGGCACATGATCTCTGTGCACATATTCATCATTGCGTTAACTGCATTATGCTCACCCGTGGCCCGTGTGGATTGATACCTATGCAAGCGTTATTAATCACTGCCTTAGCGACGGCTCAAACTCAGCACCAGATGTTTCTGTCTATAGCCCGTTAGCTAAATCTAGGCTTAGTTTATTGAAAGAAATCTATGGGAGTGAATAATATGTACATGGAAGTATAATTGGTTAAACAGATTATCACCAATCACATGCTTGTATTTTCTTCGTCCCACGGCCTCTGTGTAAACCACACGACTTCTTATTGTTCAATACTATTGGCTTGGAGTTCGTTCACCAGACACTGTAACGTGCAGTACCTAATCTGTCTTTATCTCGGAGAGTTGGATCACCACATCGATATACAGCAGCATTATTAGTGTTTTGTTGAATCACTATTCGAACGGTTGAATCAACGCTTGCACTTGTGCCAATAGGGGAAGTTAGTTTATCAACTAAAGTGAACGAAAGAAAAGTGCATGACGGTGAATCGTGGAAACCACAGGGGAAGTTCCACCCCACGAATGCGGTAAACCGATAAGAGACTTAACTTTCATCATAATGTCATTTATGTCAAACCCTGCGGTGATCCAAGGCTACGAGATAACACCAGAAAAGGGGCAACCAACCAAGGGCCAGTAGTGCAGACCAATCAGAAGCCCTGCGGCTCAAACGGAAGGTGTATGATGTCAAGAATAGAAGCAAACGATTGGCGAAGAACTGCTAACCAATGCGGTTCTTTTGTTCATAATATATAATCCCATTGACTGTCCTCAATAAACTAACCGCTACTTCTATGACCTTTTTCTTGCATCGCGGTTACGGGAGATCCCAGCGTAGGATTGTTAGTGCTATTCCGCGCTTCATCTGCGACAGTAATTCGGGATCCGTGATTCATATCTATTCCAACCATTAAAAGCTCAAAGCAGATTAATAAAAAGCAACCATTTCAATGAGCTCTTAAAGTGAGAGTGCTCATTGTAAAATGAACAACGATCATTCGCAATCAAACAAAGAGACGACAGAACTTACAACCCTAGATCACCGCAGTGATACGAATAGGAATATTCAAAGTAATTGGAAGTGTTTCTGACAAGCACGTAGACAGCATCCTTCGTATTTCAAGCGCTTCAGTCGAGAAGGTATATTGAAGCTGTTTGTGACAAACAACTGTACACAGTTCCGTGCAATGGAGATAAAAGTATGGATTGAGAGCACCTCGTTTGAATGATGTAGCTGAAAATCTAGTGGGAACAAATTAGTGAGCATTGATTGACTTCTGTGAACCTGGAAGAGTTTTTAGATAATTTTACATTGCAGTGAGGGAATCAGTCGCATGCAGTCATCAAAAAAACTTTGGCATAACAGTTGAAATAACATTATTTAAGGCCTTCTGTAACGGGCATGACCTTTAGTCACGTGATCTTTTCAGACCCAATAATATTCGCCCATATTTGAGGAATAATTACCAGAACTTTGATTCAGCCAGTGATGAAATCAGGGACTTACTCGATGCGAACATGAATAGATGTCATATCATACAAGTACAATTTGATAGACTAAGAAACGGCAGATAAACTTGAATCACATTAAAGGGTGGTCAGCGACAATAACTGTGCACTGCGTGAGACTGACCCTACAATCCCCAGGTTTCATGATGTTGTGGATCTCGAACAGGAAAATGGACGAGCGGTGGTTGAGCGCGAAGCCCCTACTAGTAAAAAATGAACGATATCACGTCGTAAAGCGAGCGGAGTTGACAAAACAATTTTGAGGAATGATGATCGTGCAACCGGATCGGCTGCTCATTCGCACGCATCTAGATATAACTTCCAGACGAACTATCAGGAGACAGAGAGGGAAGATCAATCTGGTGGGATACAGTAAATGACATCGGGTTGGCGGAAGGTTAGAAACTGTGGTGATCCAGGCCCACACGATGACGCCAATCCTGGAGCGGCGCGTTACAGTTTCAGGACATTGGCGATCAACCAAATTTGAATCCCGACGTCAATGACACGTGCATGGCTTCTGAATACACGTCATTGGTGGATGGTGCCAGCCAATCCAAGACAATGCAGACAGAAGCAAGATTATGCAAGCAGTACTGCATCCCAATTGGTGGAAGCCCAGATAGTCAACAATCTCCCTTTGTACATATCATTTAATCGCTCTCATTTCTTCCAATAAATGAACTACGTATTACTACTTCTGTGGCCTTTTCCTCGCGTCTCGTTCTCGTGGGACATTGCGAATCCGTGCCATTTTGGTCCAGTGTTTCTGCGATCCAGTCCGTGATAGCTGATGATTGATTCGGGTCCTGTGATTCATATTGCGTGGTTTGTATTCTGAATTCCGTGTGTATTACTACTACTATCAGAATTATTACAGGTTTTCAATCCGAGAATAAATTTACACTATTCGATTGAAAATGCTGCTCTGATTAGTTGCATTTTTATTTGTACAACTTGTGTAAGTTTATATGCTTACATTTCGGGCAAAAATGTCGTAACACCGAATCAAACAAAGGATTTCATATGACAAGCAAAGGGAGTAATGTCACTGAGGTTAATTTTATGTACGCATATTCTGACATAATTCACTAACGGCCTGTTCCTTATTGGTTAGTGGTCGGATCAGGTAATGTACAGAGAGCTGGTTGAAAATAAGTTTCGGCTGGCGGTGGAACTGAAGCTTAAGAACTTTTGTAAAAATTTGCACTGGAATCAATCCTGTTAATTGGCTTTGAAAGAGAAAACATAAAACACTTGGCAGTTTTGCCCTGATACATCAACGCTGAAATAACTACTAAAAGATTCGTTTGTGACAAATTTATTTACTGACGAAAGTTCGTAGGTGTTTCATTCCAAGGGCGATGAGTGACGATATTTGTGAGAAGCCTTTAACAGGGGGAATATTTTGATAGCTTGTATCCTTTATTTTAACCAAGTGTGTACCATCTTTGGAGTATCTTAACCTCTTTTCTCCTAATGAGCAAACGTCTCTGTAGAACAATCGAGTCCTGTCGGTCCGAATGATGTTCACCCTGGGGGGCAAAGTAGAAAAGGCATCTTTTGCGAAGTTGATTGCGCGCACAAAGATCCGTTTTCTCTATTAAGAATGATCTCCTAAGGTTTTGGCGATATCTACTTTGCAAAATACATGACAGTATTCGTGCCTCACTCATGAAAATAGACCTCTTGAGTTATTAACAAAGTCTACCAATTCGAGAAGGTGAACGAAGGTCTCGAGATTGGTAATTGGCTTGTTTGGAGAAAGCAAGTAGAATGAATAGTATGAACAACGAAAGATTATTGGTTCTCATAGCACTGCTAAATCAGCGTTTTGTTTCATTAACACGTCTTCATTAGTTCTAGCCTCTCGCTTTCTATTAGTTGTACAGAGACTGAATCAAAGAGTGTGGTGATCCAGGCCTACGTGAAGACGCCTATCTTGGAGCGGCGCGTTGCAGTTTCTGGACACATACGATAAATCGAATTTGAAAGGTGACGTAAA